TTGGATGATCCAGAAGAGGATTGGGAGAATGTCATATGGTCAGATGAAACCAAAATAGAACTGTTTGGTAGAAACACAACTCGTCGTGTTTGGAGGAGAGAGAATGCTGAGTTGCATCCAAAGAACACCATACCTACTGTCAAGCATGGGGGTGGCAACATCATGCTTTGGGGTTGTTTCTCCACAAAGGACCAGGACGACTGATCCATGTACAGGACAGAATGAATGGGGCCATGTATCGTGAGATTTTGAGTGCAAACCTCCTTCCATCAGCAAGGGCATTGAAGATGAACCGTCGCTGGGTCTTCCAGCATGACAATGATCCCAAACATACCGCCCGGGCAACGAAGGAGTGGCTTCGTAAGAAGCATTTCAAGGTCCTGGAGTGGCCCAGCCAGTCTCCCGATCTCAACCCCATAGAAAACCTTTGGAAGGAGTTGAAAGTCCGTGTTGCCCAGCGACATCCCCAAAACATCACTGCTCTAGAGGAGATCTGCATGGAGGATGGGCCAACATACCAGCAACAGTGTGTGTGCCAACCTTGTGAAGACTTACAGGAAACGTTTGACCTCTGTCATTGCCAACAAAGGATATATAACAAAGTATTGAGATGAACTTTTAATATTGACCAAATACTTATTTTCCACCATAATTTGCAAATAAATTCTTTCCAAATCAGCCAATGTGATTGTCTGGATTTGTTTTCTCATTTTGTCTCTCATAGTTGAGGTCTACCTATGATGCCAATTACAGGCCTCTCTCATCTTTTTAAGTGGGAGAACTTGCACAATTGGAGGCTGACTAAATACTTTTTTGCCCCACTGTATATGAACTTAATCCAAAGCATTGTGACCTAGTGCAAATATCTGCCTGTCGATGGCTGAAAAGAAATAAAATCCTTAAAGTGTAAATCCACTATTTTGCAGAAAATAAATCCACTCCTTGTGAATGACATACATCATGGATATTGGCAAAGGTAACTGAGGATTACTACCTGCTTCTTTTCTTTAGGTACTGAGATACTCCTGCTGGTGAGCTTCCTGTAGGGCCTAAGTGGGAGGGCCTTCCTGCTATAATTACATACTCAGCTCCAGAGGTGATATGCACTATATAGGAAAAAGAATGTGAATACACCTCTAAATGATTGGGACCAGGTCCTCTTCCAACCTTGTAGCAACAGTTTGGGGAAGGTCATTTTCTATTCCAACATGACTGTGAGCTTTTTGTACAAAGCCAGCTCCATAGACAAGACACTCCAAGATGTAATTTGATGATTTAGGGTAGAGGAACTTGATTGGTGTGCACTGAGCCCTGATCTCAACCCTACTGAACACCTTTGGTATGATTTGGAACAAGCCAACATCTCCATAAAGACATGGTTTGATGAGTTTGGTGTGGGGGAACTTTAGTTACCTTCAGATCCCTGACCTCAACCCTGCTATCTTTGAAATGAACTGGAAGTAGCCAGTTCTTCCCAACCAACATTTCCATAAAGATACAATTTGATGAGTTTGATGTAGAGGACCTTGAGTGGTCTGCACTCAGCCCTGACCTCAACCCTACTCAATGTCTTTAGGATGAATTGGAATGTGCCAACATCTCCATAAAGACATGGTTTGGTGTGGAGGAACTCTAGTGGCCATCAGATCCCTGACCTCAACCCTACTAACCACCTTTCAAATGTACTGTAAGCAGCCAGTTCTTCTCAACCAACATTTCCATAAAGATACAATTTGATGAGTTTGATGTGGGGGACCTTGAGTAGCCTGCACTGAGCCCTGACCTCAACCCTACTCAATGCCTTTAGGATGAATTGGAATGAGCCAACATCTCAATTAAGGCATGGTTTGGTGTGGAGGAACTCTAGTGGCCTTCAGATCCCTTACCTCAACCCTACTAAACACCTTTGAAATGAACTGGAAGCAGCCAGTTCTTCTCAACCAACATTCCCATAAAGACACAAATGAATGAGTTTGGTTTGGAGGACCTTGCGTGGACTGCACTGAGCCCTGACCTCAACCCTACTCAATGTGTTTAGGATGAATTGGAATGAGCAAACATCTTCATAAAGAAATGGTTTGAGGAGTTTGGTCTGGAGGAACTCTAGTGGCCTTCAGATTCCTGACCTCAACCTACTAAACATCTTTGAAATGAACTGGAAGAAGCCAGGTCTTCTCAACTGACATCTCCATGAACATAAGGTTTGATGGGTTTGGGCGGAGGAACTCGAATGCAAAGCCAGCTCCATAGACAAGACATGGTTTGATGTGTTTGGGTAGAGGAACATGAGTGGCCTGCACTGAGCCTTGACCACAACTCTACTAAACACCTTTAGGACGAGTTGGAACGAGCCAGGTCTTCTCATCCAACATCTCCATAAAGACATGGTTTGATGAGTTTGATATGGAGGAACTCCAGTGGCCTTCAGATCCCTGACCTCAACCCTACTGAACACCTTTGGAATGAATTGAAACATGCCAGGTCTTCTCATTCAACATCCCCATAAAAACATGGTTTCAGGAGTTTGGTGTGGAGGACCTTGAGTGGCATGCACTGAGCCCTCAGGTCAACCCCACTGAACATCTTTAGGATGAATGGAACAAGATAGGTTTTCTTATCCAACATCCCCATAAAGGCATGGTTTGGTGTGGAGGAACTCTAGTGGCCTTCAGATCCCTGACCTCAACCTACTGAACACCTTTAGGATGAATTGTAACACCGATTGTGAACCAGGTCTTCTTTTCTAGTGTTAGCACCCAACCATAGTGTAGAAAAAAAATCTGCATGGAAAAGCAGCCCATCACTTAAGCAAGAAATGTTTCTGGCAAAATTCCTCACACACCTAGGGGACAGAATACCAACGATGTTACCACTTTTGCGAAGATGCAATATTTTACATTTTTAGGGCAGGTTTAGAAAACCATAGCTGGCAGAAGACTAATAGAGGAAACAACTTTCATTTCCTTTAGTTATTCATTTTTTTTGCTATCCTGCAGTTGTTCTTTACAGGTCAAAACCAATATGGATGGCCTAAAGTTTTCTTATATTGCTATGGTAGGAGGGTGAGACTTCTGTTGCATTTTGGGTCTCCAAACTACCACAAGGCCACCACAAAAAAGGTGTCACTTCTCACATCTGGATTCTCCAGTTATCTGTGAATTAAAAATGATGTTGAACCCATCAAGGAAGTCTGACACCCATCATAGGGAATTTTTTATATTGAATCTGGCTTTAAAATAAAACAAATCTCTAATGGTAACAACACTACTGAAGTTGCAGTACCTTGTGGAGACTGCAAGTAGCTATGTTAGGCTAAGCTCACAAGGGCAGCAAAGGGGTGATAAAAACAGAAGGTTGATCCTCTGACCATCTACCTACAAGATAACATGATGGCCGCTCAAACCTGTACACATTGCCACGGATAAGATGCTTTGCGGTGCTGCACAATGAATTTGCAAAGTTGCGCTTGGCAGATGGTGTCACTTACCAAAGTCAATGGGATCATGCCAGAATTGGGTGTCATATAAATGTGCCATAGGATCAAAAAAAAAAAGGAAAAAAAAACAACACACAGGTGACAGTTTCACCTCCTGATCACCTGCATACCACCATGCAACCGGGGTGATGAGCTGGGATCTGACATAAACTTCATAGCTAACAGTCCTACGCTGGTCCTGTTCCCTCCGGGACTCAGAGATGGACCCCGGGAGTGTGGAGGGTGACGAGGAGAAGGAAAGGAGGAGGCGAGGCAAGGGTTGGCTGTGCCCTAGGCAGCTGCCTAGTTCGCCTAGTGGCAGCGCCTGCCTTGAGTATATACAGCTTTTTCACACAGGTAAGCTAGTATAGGTGTTAGGAGGGGGAGGGAGAATTTTTTTTAAACTAGTTAGGTTTAGGCTGGAATACCACTTTAAGCGTTGACCCCTCCCCAGCATTAAGCCCTACTGCTGCCATTTAACTTCTACAGCCTCTACTACCCATAGAGCATTAGGACGAGTAGAGTTCCAAGACCAAAACTACTTCAGCACTTTTTTTTTTGTGATCTTTGAAGATGAATTGCTTCACAATTCCTGCATCTACAGAGGTTATTTGGGGTCTGTTTTTCGGCTTATTCACTGCTTGCTACAGCTATTTTAAGATTTGAATGTTGATATCCTGGCCACATTTCTGCGTTAACCCCAACTTGGAAACAAGCAGGGGTCTTGTATATTTTGGGCTTTGGATTCAAGGAGCACCACAAGGACACAGGGAGTGGAAACGCCACAAAGTTCCTCACATCAGCACTGTTATCTTAGGCCAATAAAATGACGCAGTACTGAAAATTCTGTTTTTTGGAGTCTGCGAAACCTATAAAGTGCTACCCTGTGAAGCAGCTTAAAAAAGAGCCACCCAAGGCTGAGACAATTCAGGAGGTCTTCAGTGGAGGAGCACCTGTCATGATGGAGCAAATGTACTACAATGGAAGCAGAAAGGGAAGGAAGGCACTGCTCTTTGTTTTTTTTTTTTTTTCTTTCTAGTTGGGTTTTTTTTTTTAATGTTTTGTGGGAAATTTGATCTAGCATTTCACAAGGAGGTCAGTATTGACACTTGTTTCTTTCAATGTAATAAAGCCTTGAATATTGGAAGAACCTCAGCCACCCAAGGCTGAGGCAATTCAGGAGGTCTTCAGTGGAGGAGCACCTGTCATGATAGAGAAAATGTACTACAATGGAAGCAGAAATGGAAGGAAGGCACTGCTCTTTGTTTTTTGTTTCTAGTTTTTTTTTTTTTTTTATGTTTCGTGGGAAATCTGATCTAGCATTTCACAAGGAGGTCAGTGGACACTTGTTTCTTTCAAAGTAATAAAACCTTGAATATTGGAAGAACTACAATCTCAAACTCTTTTGCCTTTCTTCATTACAGCACTTTTGTAGGTGAAATTTAAAAAAACAAAAAAACATTCTTCAGAAAATTGCATTGGAAGCTCATAATAACCTCAAACTAGACGATGAAAAAAACTGTGATTAAAGTGCTTCTCCGGACGCAGCGTCCACCTGGCATTCTGGAGTCTGCTGAAACACAGAGTCGTGTCCCTGTATGGAGAACAGGTATGGCTCCTTCCCCACCCCCTTCTCTACATCCGGATGGTTGGGGTGGTGCCGTTGTAAGTGTTTCACCACTTGGAACTTCTGCTTGGCCCGGTATGGGCAGTGCTGACAGAAAAAAGGCTGCTGATTGGTGTGGGTGAGGTAGTGGTGGCGCAGTCCTGCCGGCCAGCGGAAGCTGCGCTGGCACACGTTGCAGACGTACGGCTTGTCCTCGCTGTGCTTTTTGAGGTGGGTTTTCAGAAGGAAGCGAGTTTTGAATGCCTTGCCGCACTGCTCGCAGATGAAGGAGCGGACCTCGCGGTGACGGGTCTCCCGGTGGACACGCAGCGCGTCGGCTCGGTTGGTGCAGTAGTTGCACTCTTCGCACTGGTATGGCTTCAAACCTGAAAAGTGGAGGGCGATGCATTTACAATGGGAGCCTATTCGGGTGTCTGGAACTACAGGTACCGCTCACCTAGTGTACAGTGTGAATACTAATGTGGATGATAATCATGGAAGGTATTCAATCAATGTATACCCTTATCCTTTTTAAACCCTCAAAAAGTCAATACTTTCTCCCTAGAAAGTGCAACAATACATATACAACCTTTTTGTGAATTACAAAAATAAATAAAATAAATAAATAAATTGATTTTAAACATATAATATGCAACAAAGTCCCACTAATCAAAAAAGTGTCCAAAAAGAAAGTCCAAAATAGTGTCCACAAATATCCCAAAATGTATTCACTATTTTCATCCACTGAAAGGATTGGCTCCTATTTCATCCAAAACGCACCTCGAAGTAAAAAATATAATAATATCTAGTGCATTACCTTAACCGCATGCCGCCCAGCCACTGTACATATACGGCGGCAGGGCGGCACTCACAGGCAAAACCACGTTTTAAAACGTGCGTTTTGTAAACAAATAGGGGGCGCGTGCGAGGCGCGCTGCCGCCCCATTTGTCCTGTGGATCACCGCCGCAGATGTCAGTTGCCGGGTCACAGCCGCTCATTAGCGGCTATGTCCCGGCGATCGGCGGTAACGGTGACAGAGAGCACAGCTGCAGTAGCTGTGCTGTCTGTCACGTCTCTGTCAGCTCGAGGATGAGCTGATCGAGAAAGAATAGTTTCACTTTCTCGGTCAGCCTTGTCCCGCCCAGTACACAGCCCCGCCCCCTAGTAAAACACTCCCCCTCACTCCTATAACCCTTCCCTGCAAAATAAAGTTAACCCCTTCCTCCCCAGTGCCATTAGTACAGTGTCAGTTTTTTTTTTTTTGCACTGATCACTGTATTAGTGTTTTTGGGGATGTCAGTGACCCCAAGTCAGTACCCCCCATGTCAGAATGTCCGCCGCAGTCCCGCCATAAGTGGCTGGTCGCTGCCATAAGTCCCTGATCGCCGCCATAATTCGCTGATCGCCGCCATTATTAGTATAAAAAAAAACTAAAAATCCCAGTATCTTTCCCGCCATTTGTAAACGCTATAACTTTCACGTAAACCAATTAATTTACACGAATTGGGTTTTTTTTTTAGCAAAGACATGTCGCAGAATACATTTGGCAGAAATTTATGACTAAATTTGATTTTTGCATTTTTTTTTTTACTGGACATGTTTTATAGCAAAAAGTCCCAAAATATTGTTTTTTTTTTTCCCTCAAAATTGTCAGCCTTTTTTTTTTATAGCGCAAAAAAATAAAAACCGCACAGGCGATCAAATACCACCGAAAGAAAGCTCAATTTGTGGGAAAAAAAAAGGATGTAAATTTCTTTTATGTACCGTATTGCATGACCGCGCAATTGTCCGTTAAACTAGCGCAGCGCTGTATAACAGAAAAATGGCGTAAATTGCAGTATTTATACCATAGTTTGTAGACGCTATAACTTCCACACAAAGCAATCAATATACACTTATTGGGATTTTTTTTACCAAAAACATGGAGCAGAATACATTTTGGCCTAAATTTATAACCAACTTGGAGTTTACTATATATTTTTTAGAGCTGAAAATAAAAAATATTGTTTTTCTTTAAAATTTTTGGCGTTTTTTTTGTTTATAGCGTGAAAAAAAAAAAGCGCACAGGTGATCAAATTACACCGAAAGAAAGCTCTATTTGTGTGAAAAAAAGGACGTAAATTTCGTTTGGGTGCAGCATTGCATGACCGCGCAATTATCAGTTGAATTAGTGCAGCGCCGCGTAGCAAAAAGAGGCCTGGTCATTAAGGGGGGTAAATCCTCTGGAGCTCAAGTGGTTAATAGTAATAACAATAACAATAATCACCCCGTGCAACCAAAATACACTTCAAAAAACCTTTTGTGCAAGGGAAAAAAAAAAATATACAAATCCAAATTATTTTCTTTACAGTGCATATAATCACACAAATCAAACTGTGAGTACTCTGTGGTCACTGCAATTCAGTGTCTGAAGACGAAGTCCGGAAGTGACGAAACGCGTTAGTGGAGTGACGTCAAGACGCACGTACGTAGACTGGAATTGTCGCCGCGGCCATTTTGTTGGTTTTCAACACATGGTTTTCTATGGTGTTTGGTTGAAAAAGCTTGAAACCATGTCTGGAGCTGATATTTTTAAATCTCAATGTAAGTGATGAATAAAAAGTTATCCCTATGCTTTGAATACTAGTCCTGAGACCCTTCTTATCTCTCTGAGGACCTTGGAAAAAACTTCTTGGAAGATAATGTGGAGGAATATTTTTCCATAGTATTGTTTGAGCATTTCAATACTCATAGAGGGTAATAGTATTTAGTACTACTGTGTGTTGGTTGATGGTAGACACTGAATTGCAGTGACCACAGAGTGCTCACAGTTTGATTTGTGTGATTATATGCACTATAAGAAAATAATTTGGATTTTTTTTTTTTTTTCCTTGCACAAAAGGTTTTTTGAAGTGTATTTTGGTTGCACGGGGTGATTATTGTTATTATTATTATTATTATTATTAAGGTAATGCACTAGATATTATTATATTTTTTACTTCGAGGTGCGTTTTGGATGAAATAGGAGCCAATCCTTTCAGTGGATGAAAATAGTGAATACATTTTGGGATATTTGTGGACACTATTTTGGACTTTCTTTTTGGACACTTTTTTGATTAGTGGGACTTTGTTGCATATTATATGTTTAAAATCAATTTATTTATTTTATTTATTTTTGTAATTCACAAAAAGGTTGTATATGTATAATCATGGAAGGTAGACTAAAGCAAAATACAAGAACTGGGGAGTAAGACAGGCGGCATTTTCCATTAAAGTGGACCTAGTGTCAGATATATTTTTGAAGTACATGTATTCTAAAAAAATTTGTGTCAGTGTAATGATTTATGACTCCTCAGAGAGGTCACACTATCCCCCTGGTAACATCATCTGTTTTTCTCTCCAGAAGAATAGAATCTCTTTGTTTAGGCATCATCCAGGGTCACCATCTACTCCCTGGATTGAAATGCTGAGATGCCACTGTAGCAGGAGTCACTTTGGGTCCCGCTTCCCCATCCGAACACCGACAACAGACACCACAGCAGACCATACAAGACTAGACGACACCAGTCTTGAAGTAAACCAGGAGATAGACTAGTTTATTTGAACACAGATACAAGATATATACACTCAGGGGACAATCCCCCCTCCCTGCATAATGACACAGGGCGGGGCAATCTACATTTAGTAACAAGAGACACACCAGCAGACAGTCCCATCAGGAGGGAGGGCTGCTGGAGACACCCCCCCACCAAGCCAATACACATAAACACATACATACCATAATAGTTTGCTCCCAAGCAAGACACACAATAGAACAATGGGATGCAACCACATGGCATTACCAATCAACAACCCCCCACCCCACCGATCTCCTAGAAATGTCTACACAATATCAGGACATATCACCCTGTACCCCTAACAGGCACAGGGTGACTTACACATAATAGGGATAAGGGCAGCTGAGAAAGGGGTCATGTAAATCCTGGTGCATGTGCAGTTCTTGCTTGTGGTCAAACATGTCTGTCATGGATCACCCCCTGCTGCAGCCCTTCGCCTTGTGACTTACTACAAAGTTACAATGTACAGTCTGATCATTGGGGGAAATGAGACTGAGGAAATACTTCCTTCTGCCTGCAGCAGGCTAGTGGCATTAGCCACTGAGTTTGTTTTTTTTTCAATAAAAGGTGGAGATTTACCTACAAATGACACTGTTGTTGTATAGTGTATATACATTATGTCAGTAATGTATTCATGCACACTTGTGAAAGGTCCACGTTGCACTTTGAAATAAAGACTTTAAAGATGAATTACAGGTATAGTTGATATTTTATACATAGTTACTGTCAGGAATGGACTTGCCAATAGTGGTGGGACTCACCTGCCTTGTGGGCTGAAGTACCAGGGCTGGCCAGCGGGTGCTCTCAACAACCAGAGGTTCACTTCGGCAATTAGCCATCACCTGGGGCTGATTGCAGGTGTATTTAAGGGATGGCCAGACCTGCAGTCGGTGCCTTGGTGTGTGTTTTTCCATGGGCCCCTGTATCTTGTTACCTGCATTCCTGTTCCTCCTGCCTGACTTACTTGTTGCCGACCCAGCCTGATCCCGACCTCTGCTGACTTCTCCTGTTTGATCCCTGGCTTGTGACCCCGACCATTCTCTGCCTGACCCCCTGTACCTACCTGCCCGTTAGTTGCTGTACCCGGCTCGTGACCTGACTACTCTCTGCCTGCTCCTCCTGTTCCTACCTGCCCGATTGTTATTGACCCGGCCTGCCTGACTTCGCTTGCATTGTATGTATTGTTATCTGGGGTGGTTTGGTTTGGTTTGTTTGCACTGTGTTTATGTTTTAGTATTGCACTGCGTTTATGTATTGTTAGTATTAATAAATTATATTGTTTATAACATATCTGAAGCCTGCGTTTCCCTGCGTCAGTTCACATACCTCTGGTCATACCCGGAGTCCTGACAGTTACATTGGTCCAGCTTTGACAAAAGCGCCCATCTACAGTGAAGGAAATAAGTATTTGATCCCGTGCTGATTTTGAATGTTTGCCCACTCACAAAGAAATGATTGGTCTACAAATCGAATGGTAAGTGTATTGTAACACCATCTCAACTGTCAAAGATGGTGGTGGAAACATTCTGCTTTGGGGGGTTTTTCTGGTAAGGGGACAGGACAACTACACCGCATCAAAGGGATGATGGATGGGCAATGTACCATCAAATCTTGGGTGAGAACCTTCTTCCCTCAGCCAGGGCATTGAAAATGGGTCGTGGATGGGTGTTCCAGCATGACAATGACCCAAAACACACGGCCAAGGCAACAAAGGAGTGGCTCAAGAAGAAGCACATTAAGGTCCTGGAGGGGCCTAGCCAGTCTCCAGACCTTAATCCGATTGAAAATCTGTGGAGGGAGCTGAAAGTTTGAGTTGCCAAATGTCAGCCACCAAACCTTAATGACTAGGAGAGGATCTGCCAAGAGGAGTGGGCCAAAATCCCTCCTGAGATGTGTGCAAACCTGGGGGCCAACTCCAGGAAACGTCTGACCTCTGTGATTGCCAACAAGGGATTTGCCACCAAGCACTAAGTCATGTTTTGTGAAGGGGATCAAATACTTATTTCCCTCATGAACATGCAGATCAGTCATCATTTGTTAGAGACGCATTTCTTTTGAATTTGTTGTTGCTATTCTGTCTTTCAGTGTTACATTACACCAAACATTCGATTTTTAGATTGATCATTTCTTTGTGAGTGGGCAAACATTCAAAATCAGCAGGGGAGCAAATACTTATTTCCTTCACTGTATATACCATGCCTGGCTGATGCCACTGGAAGCTGGAAAATACTGGAGTAGACACTGCTACTCCAGAGATCTCTACTGGCATTCAGGTCCTGTGCTCAGCAGATGGTTTGCTGCATTCTGAACGCAGGAGTTCAACCGCTTAGCACAGGCACTACTGAGAGAATGCTTTGCATTCACATTACCACCCCACCGATACACCTCGTCCAATCAGAGGATGCTTTGTATTCATTCAAAAGAATGCAAAGCATTCTCTAAATGGTGCCCAGGCTGGGTGGCCGACCTCAAGGTCAGCACAGGACCTGGAAGCAAATGGAGAACACTGGAGTACCGGGTTTCTACTACGGTGATTTCCAGTTTCCAGGGGCATCTGTCAAGCTGGGCCAATGCAACTATGTATAAAATAGCCATATCTGGAATTTTTCTTTAACCGCTTGCCTGCCGCCCCATAGTAGAAACACTGCTACAGGGCAGCAGGGCTGTGCAAAATCACATATATATATATATACATGATTTGCATATCTGGCTAGGGAGCGCGTGCGTGCGCGCACGCTACCCTATACGCGCCGGCGGCTATGGATTTCAATCACCGGGTCCCGGCCTGAGATTCCCCGCTAGCACCCAGCGATCACCGAGTAACACTGACAGGGGAGAGACCTGTGTGTAAACAACGCAGGTCTCTCTCCTGCCAGCAAGAAAATGCTGCTGTGTATTTCTCTGCACAGCACATAAATACACAGCAGCATGTTTTCATAGTAAAACACACACAGCACATTATGTAAAACAGAACACAACACAGTTAACCCTTTGATCGCCCCAGATGTTAACCCCTTCTTGCCCAGCGTCATTAGTACATTGTCAGTGCTATTTATCAGCACTGATCACTGTACCAGTGTCATTGGGATGTCAGTGGCAGTCAGTCAGTTCCCACCCAGTGTCAGAATGCCCGCCGCAGCCCTGCTTTAAGTCAATGATCGCCGCCATTACTAGTATAAAAAAAATAAAAATATCAATTCCAGTATATATACCGCTATTTGTAAACGCTATAATTTTCATGTAAACCAATTAATTTACACGTATTGGGATTTTTTTTTTAGCAAAGACATGGAGCAGAACATACTATATGCACTGATAGGCGGCACTGACTGGCATTGATTGGCAGCACTGATAGGTAGCACTGACTGACACTGATAGGTGGCACTGACTGGCACTGATAGGTGGCACTGAAAGGCAGCTCAGGTGGGCACTGATATGTGGCATTGATGTGCACTGTTAGGCACTGATATGTGGCATTGATGTGCACTGGTAGGCACTGATATGTGACATTGATGTGCACTGGTAGGCACTGATATGTGGCATTGATGTGCACTGGTAGGCACTGATATGTGGCATTGATGTGCACTGGTAGGCACTGATATGTGGCATTGATGTGCACTGGTAGGCACTGATATGTGGCATTGATGTGCACTGGTAGGCACTGATATGTGGCATTGATGTGCACTGGTAGGCACTGATATGTGGCATTGATGTGCACTGGTAGGCACTGATATGTGACATTGATGTGCACTGGTAGGCACTGATATGTGGCATTGATGTGCACTGGTAGGCACTGATATGTGACATTGATGATTGGCACTGATGGGCACTGGCACGTGGCACTGATGAGCACTGACAGCTGGCACTGATGGACACTGACAGGTGGCACTGCTGGGGTACACAGATCATCAGGGCACACTGATCATCAGTGCCCTGATGATCAGTGTACATGTCCCCTCTGAGTAAAGCCGATTACCGGCTCTCCTCTCCTCTCCTCTGTCAGCGTGACAGCTCGTGAGGAGAGAAATGCAGATAACCGGTATTTTCCTATTTACATGCGATCCACTGTGATTTGACACAGCTGATCACATGACCAAGCCAACATCTTCGGCTCTTTCCGTTAATCAGTGATCCGCTGTGTCCGAGGGACACAGTGCACCGCCGATTGCCACGCTGCGTGCCCCCGGAGCTGCGCATGCACGGTTAGAATGGGAGGACGTCATATGACGTCCTCCCAGAACGAGAGAACCGCCTTGCGCCCGTTATTACCATATATGGCGGGTGGGAGGCGGTTAAAGAAATCTGGGCTGAGAAGAACAATCAGATCACACTTACCTTCAAATTGATTCATAAAAGGAAATCATTATGGTTTGGGGTCAATTTATTTTTACAAGGTTTTAAACAGATTTCTGTCCTGCGTTACTCCTTACCTGTGTGTTTGGTCATGTGATATTTCAGCTGGTTCACCCACTTGCACTTGTATCCACACTCAGGACAAAGGTAGTTCTTTTCATCCTTGTGGATGCGCATATGGTACTAAACAAAGAGAACACAAATGGAACTCATTAAGCTACAATACAGATGGACGGTTTTTGGGCTGCTCAGCAGAGTACCTGACACTTTGAAAAATGTTGTGCCTGCGCTGTCACCCTCCAAACCATCATCGAAAGGAAAGGAGAGCTTACACTGAGCAAAACAGGAGAAGCTCCAAATGCATCATGGGAGTTGAACCTTTTTATTCTAGGTTCTGAACTGCCCTAGTATGACAGGCTGGGGAGTAGTAGTGATTACAGCTAAGTTCTGAGTTTTTTAAAAATTCTGATTATTAGAAGACTCCATAACAGAACCTTAAAGTGTTACTAAACCCCGGACCCTGCAAGTCACTATATCTGGTCTCCCCGGACCCTGCATTAATTATATCTGGTCTCCCCAGACCCTGCATTCACTATATCCGGTCTCAACGGACCCTGCATTCACTATATCCGCTCTCCCTGAACCCTGCATTCACTATATCCGGTCTCCCCGGACCCTGCATTCACTATATCTGGTCTCCCCGGACCCTGCATTCACTATATCCGCTCTCCCCGGACCCTGCATTCACTATATCCGCTCTCCCTGGACCATGCATTCACTATATCTGGTCTCCCCGGACCCTGCATTCACTATATCCGCTCTCCCTGGACCCTGCATTCACTATATCCGGTCTCAACGGACCCTGCATTCACTATATCCGGTCTCAACGGACCCTGCATTCACTATATCCGCTCTCCCTGGACCCTGCATTCACTATATCCGGTCTCCCCGGACCCTGCATTCACTATATCTGGTCTCCCCGGACCCTGCATTCACTATATCCGCTCTCCCCGGACCCTGCATTCACTATATCCGCTCTCCCTGGACCATGCATTCACTATATCTGGTCTCCCCGGACCCTGCATTCACTATATCCGCTCTCCCTGGACCCTGCATTCATTATATCTGGTCTCCCCAGAGCCTGCATTCACTATATCTGCTCTCCCCGGACCCTGCAGTCATTATATCTGGTCTCCCCGGACCCTGCATTCACTATATCTGCTCTCCCCGGACCCTGCAGTCATTATATCTGGTCTCCCCGGACCCTGCCTTCACTATATCTGGTCTCCCCGGACTCTGCATTCACTATATCCGGTCTCCCCGGACCCTGCATTCACTATATTCGGTCTCCCCGGACCCTGCATTCACTATATCTGGTCTCCCCGGACCCTGCCTTCACTATATCTGCTCTCCCCGGACCCCGCATTCACTATATATGGTCTCCCTGGACCCCACATTCACTATATATGGTCTCCCAGGATCCTGCATTCACTATATCCGGTCTCCCGGACCCTGCATTCACTATATCCGGTCTCCCCGGACCCTGCATTCACTATATCCGCTCTCCCCGGACCCTGCATTCACTATATCTGCTCTCCCCAGACCCTGCATTCACTATATCTGCTCTCCCCAGACCCTGCATTCACTATATCTGGTCTCCTCGGACCCTGCATTCACTATATCTGGTCTCCCCGGACCCTGCATTCACTATATCTGGTCTCCCCGGACCCTGCATTCACTATATCTGCTCTCCCCGGACCCTGCATTCACTATATCTGGTCTCCCCGGACCCTGCATTCACTATATCTGCTCTCCCCGGACCCTGCATTCACTATATCCGGTCTCCCCGGACCCTGCATTCAATATATCCGGTCTCCACGGACCCTGCATTCAATATATCCGCTCCCCTCAGACCCTGCATTCACTATATCCGCTCCCCTCAGACCCTGCATTCACTATATCCACTCTCCCCCGGACCCTGCATTCACTATATCCGGTCTCCCCGGACCCTACATTCACTATATCCGGTCTCCCCGGACCCTGCATTCAATATATCCGGTCTCCCCGGACCCTACATTCACTATATCCGGTCTCCCCGGACCCTGCATTCAATATATCCGGTCTCCCCGGACCCTGCATTCACTATATCCGGTCTCCCCGGACCCTGCATTCACTATATCCGCTCTCCCCGAACCCTGCATTCACTATATCTGGTCTCTTTAAAAAGCGGAACCAAACCCACTGATTTAACCGTTTCACAAAACAGTTACTGGAGGAGGCACATACTGGGGTTTATTTACTAAAGCTAGAGAGTGCAAAACCAGGCTCCCTTCTGCATAGAAACCAGATTCCAGGTTTTATTGCCAAAGCTTAATTGAACAAGCTGAGAGTAGAAGCTGATTGGTTTCTAAGCAGAAGTAAGTCTGATTTTGCAATCTCCAGCTTTAGTAAATAAACCCCACTGTCACCTTATATACAGCTTACTGATCCAGCACGGCTTCCTTCTCTACTATCCAACAAGTCGCCACTGTCACCTTATATACAGTCTACTGATCCAGCACGGCTTCCTTCTCTACTATCTGACCAGGCTTACAATGTCACCTTACTGTATATACAGCTTACTGATCGAAGACTGCATCCTGCTTTATCTGACACTGTCCTGTGTCACCCTATATAGAGGCTTCCCACAAGCAAGAAAAATATATTTTAAATATAGTGTAAAAATATTCTTCCCAAATATATTGACATATGTTTGAAATACTACAATTTTGGCCGTATTCAATATATTTTTATATATATATATATATATATATATATATATATATACACACACACACTGCATGTTGAAATGCGTTTTATTATATATTACAAAACATATGAAACATATTTTTAAAAACTTTTTTTTTTAATATATATTTTTCATATATTTTGTAGTAAAAAATGCATTTCAACATACAGTGTGTGTGTGTATATATATATATATATATATATATATATATATATATATATATATATATATATATATATATATATATATATATATATATATATATATATATATATACACACACACACACACATATACACATATATACATAATGTATGTTGAAATGCATTTTTATTACAAAATATATGAAAAATATTTTGAAAAAATACATTTTCAAATATACTGTATGTCTTTAAAATTGCATTCAATCTACATTTTTGGAATGCATTTACAAATATATGTAAAAATATAGGTTAAAATGACTTTTTTATATGTTAAAAAAAAATCTGAAGAATATATTTAAAAAAATATTTTTCATATATTTTGTAATATATAAAAAAATGCATTTCAGCATACAGTATGTATATTGAAATCAGGGTGGATACAAAATAAATGATTTTTTTTAAAAAATCTGATTTTTTACATTTAAATTGGATTTTTTAAAATAAAATGCTTTTTGAGGAAAATATATTACCATCCAAAGGTTATTCCATCATGAAATAAAGATTCATTTTTTAATTATGTAGAATAAGCTGTATGTGTTTAATTTTTTTGGTAAATAAATTCCATGAATCCATTCACAATGTCATGCTCTTCCAGAGGTTTTTGTAAGATTATTGGGCAGTTTCTCTGCCTACAAGATATTATCACAGATGCTCGGTTTACTTTTGCAGTTCTCAAAACTGAATTGGACTCAGCGGAGATCACATGCCTCTTCTTCACAGCAAAAATGTTATAATTAACAGATTTACGAAAAAGACCTTCATCCTAACTTCTACAAACCTATGAATACAGAATCAGCCCCTTCAGTGCTAAGTTTCAAGAAGTTCAGTGAATAGAATAGAAACAATATTTTTCTGATTGTTTGGAGTGGAATAGATCTGCACAAGAAGAAAGTGAAACTAAGTGTGAGGAGGAAGGGGCTGACCGTCTAAGTTTCTTAAAATATATATATTTTGTTTAGCCAAATTAGTTAACAAACATGGATGTTTAAGCCAATCACATATGCTGGAATGTTATTGTTTCAGCTGAATAAATCTATTTAAATTGTTATTATTAAGGTAATGATTATTTTTCTCCTTCCTAAGTACAACAGAAAAGTTGTCCAACTATGAATGATTAACCTATTAAACTGGGGATAAAAAAACTAATATGAAAAGTTGTTATTCTAAAAATCTTCATCTACTTGTATATTAAAGTTATACCAGCAAGAATTAGTCTTTATGTAGAAAACTAGGATTTACATCAAGCCTTACTGACTAGTGATTTAAATCGTGATTTAAATCAGTTTGATTTAAATCAAATCCACCTTGATTGAAATATATAGAATACGTCCAAAATTGTAGTATTTCAAATATATGTCAATATATTTGGGAAGAATAATTCTTAAATATATTTTAAAATATATGTGGGTTTGCTCCAGCACTGCTTCATCCTCCACAAGCATAGACGGCACACGCTGTCACCTTATATACATCCTACTGATTCCGCATTGCTTTCTCCTCTACTATCTGACAAGGCAATCATTTTGCATATCAGATGATCCAGCCTTGGGAAACAGAAAAAATAGGCGATGCAGCTTTGTAACTAAAGCCTACATGTGGTACAGGGGTGGCACTATCACAAATAAAGGAACCATTACCTTAAGACGTGAAGGATCTCCACAGGCGTAGGTGCAGAGGTGACATTTGTAGGGCTTTTCCCCGGTATGAATTCGACTGTGCCAGGTGATCTTCTGCTTATTCTTGGTGCTGTACTCACAGTCTGAACACTTGTAGACCCGTGTGGCCCCATGGCCCTTGACATGGTGGTCATACACCAACTGGTGACGGCAGGAAAAGGAGCAGAAAGGGCAGCGCAGGGGACCTTCCTCCGCCTCCACTCCAGGCAGCGCGGAGGACTCGTGCACCTCTGCATAATGGTTAACTAGCTGCTGCCTGTCCTTGGCAGCAAACTGGCATTGCTGGCAGTGGTGGGAAAAGTGAGATTTACGATGTTCCTCTAAGTCCTGCCGGCGGGAGAAAGTCTTCTTGCAGAAGGCACACTCCAGCTGTAGGTGCTGTTTCTGAACGTGACATCGGAGCGTGGCCTGGCTATGACAGGAGAACAGACACTGCGAACATTCATAGGTCTCCTTCTCTTGGTGCTTTCGCAGGCTATGCTGCTTCAGCGCCGCCTCGGAGCTAAAACTCGCCTGGCACACGTTGCATGGGAAATCTAGTTCGCCGCTATGGCAGCTGCTCAAGTGCCGAGCGATATCGTTCTGACTGTAGCCGCTATAATCGCACAGGTTGCAAAAGTGCGTGGGTTTCTTCTCATGGACTCTTCGTTGGTGCAGCCGTAGTTTAGAGTTCGTGCCAAAAGTCCGACTGCAAGCGCTGCAGGAGATCCGTCCAACCCCGGTGTGAAGGGATTCGTGGGCTTCCAGGCGGTAGCGCCGGGTGGTGCTGAAGTCACAGTATTTGCAGCGGTGAGGTTTAACCCCTTCGTGACGGATCCGTACATGCTGCTTCAAGCATCGCGGCTGCTTGCAGGTAAAGTCGCAAAGCTTGCACTGCAGATGTGCTCTGTTTTGAGAATACTTCTGGTGAAGGTCTCGGTGTCGATTAAGAGCCGAGGTCGACATGCATCGAAATGAGCAGAGCGAACACTGGAGCTCCCCTGGTTTTAAACAACCTTTTTTCTTGTGTGTTCTCATGGCCCGCTCCTGACTACATGTAAAGGGGCAGGTGGGACACGAAAGTTTGCAGGTGCCTGTAGACACGGCCGTGTTTTTACAACAATCTACGCTTTCGTTTGGTTCTCGATCATCTTCTTCCTCTGTATTGAGACCATCCTCTCCTCCAGAGCTTTCACACTCATATTCTTCATCCTGACGGTTCTTTAAAATGTTCTTCTTTGTGCAGTTATGTTTTCTCAGTGCCGTTTCTGAGTGTAGAACAGCTAGGCAAAGGGTGCAGGATACTCTTTTTACTTCCCGGCAGTTCTCATTCACGTGGCAATTAATAGTACATTCCCTGGAACAGGAATAAGCGCAAATAATAAGCATCGGAATTTTCCATCTTTAAATTGGTATTTTTCCCTTTCCTCTGGCACAGAAGAAGCATTGTCCTGGTCCTTTGGACTCTCTGAGGGGAGCTCACTAATTTCGTGCTCAGTACTTTCTATTCTATCGGGATCAATTTCTTCCAATTGTTCTTGCACCAATTCTTGACCTGCGGATAACTGATCTGGGGCATTTAAACAGTTTTCAGGCAAGCTGGGATCTTGAGCATCAATATTAACTTCTGGATTCATGTAATCATGAACTGGGTGGATGTTGTCATGCTGCTCCACTGTCTTCGATGATGTAGTTGCCTTGATCCCAGCTCTTTTCTTCTTTAATATCACTGGACACTTCTTCAGGATATGAGTATTGAGCCCTCTTTGTTGTTTAAAGCTAGCTCCACATTCCTGGCACATCAAGGCAGATTTGCGCATGCTGCAACCGTTCTTAGCGTGCTGGACAATGCATGCTTTTTTCTTGGTGATGTAGGAACATTTTTCACAACGGTAAACCTGACTTTTAGATTGGACCACCAACATTTGGACTCTTCCCTCCAGGACAAGCGTCTCTGCTTGCTCCTTGTCTTGCTTTCTCAAGGCCTTCAGTATGGACTCAGGTCTGCTATTATCATAGCTTTCATCCAGAGAGACAGCAGGAGGTTCCACTACCTGAAGGTTGGTCTCGTTAAGCCCACTCGATTCACAGACAATGGTCAACTGTACTCCGCCCTTCACAACATCAGCCCAGGACTCCTGTACTTCAACCGAGATGTCTCCAGGCTGGATTTC